TCCGGTTGAAATTTAAACAGAAATATTGTTAAGCTAATAGTCGACCTAATCTATAAAAATTTAATAAGAAAAAAAATACAAATAAGGAGTCGAAACAAAAAAAATTACGATTTATGATTAGAGCAAGTTAGATTTGAATCATCGAAAGGTTATGTGATTTGTGATAATGCTGGATTTGCTCATACTTATTTTTTTGCGAAAATATTAACAACCAAAGATTTCAATGAGCGAATATTGATTAAAGTTCAACAGAGGTAGCCTAAAATTTAACTTAACTATAGGTGGGGCCGGACATCGGCAAAATTTCCAATGCACGGCTATAAGGCCTTCCACTCCGTTCCTCTCCGCTCCAGCCCAATTACATCCAACTAATCAGGTTTAATAAATGGTATGAATGTTTGTATTTAGACGAAAGTTAGTATTAGGCAATTTTATGAGAATTTTTTTGGCGGTCGTTACTTATGGAAAATTCGAAAATGAAAATTCAAGATAGAAATAAAGATATAAATAAGACCAGTTTGCCTAAAGAATCGAAAGTTCAAAAATAAGAAGAATAATAATAATAACAGTTACAACGCAGAAAAAGAACAGTGCTTTTTTTTCTATCAATTTCCCAGTAATCACTTTGAACAATTACTATCAGTTTAAAAAATAGCAATGAAATTCTTGAACACTCTCTTTATTCTTTTGGCATCCATTGCAATCGTTGCCCAAGCATCTCCCTTGAATGAAAGTAAATACTTATTTTATTTATCATCATGAAGTTGTACTTTATTAATCTAAAGTAAAGAATCACTAAAACGTATATTATTTTTATGTTGCCCTCGTTACTCAAGGACATATGAAAGGAATTCCTGATTCTAAAGGACATTTTGGTTTTCCGGATCATCATATTCCTGTGTATCCTCATAATCTGTACGATGATTTCAAAAAAGATTTTGCCGTGGCTGTGTTTAACCTAAGAACTTCTATAATGGCACTTAAGCAAGATTTAAATTCTTTCGAAACATCTGAATATGGAAGCTCAATCGGAGTCATCGCTAATTCCACTGATAGTGTGGAAGAGGCTACAATGAAATTCTTATTAAATCATTACAGAACACCTGTAATTCCAGCCCATTGACATCTTATATAGATTATACGGTATTTTAAAATTTATGATTTAATTATTTTGTCAAATGAAAATACTTGCAGATTTAACTTAATTTATCTTTTGAAACCATTAGAGAACCTGTTATAGCAATCATGAGAATGTCAAAATATTTGAGATGTGTAATTGGATCGATTAAACCAACGTGATATAGTTTTTTTTTTAATTTTTTTATGGTGGCATATTTCTTTTTTAACAGTCATAAAATAGTTCTGTTTTGTACTACGTAATACATTGGCACCTGTATTTATTATTATATTTCTAATAATGAATTTTAAATATACTTTGCAGAAATTGAATATCATAATATACAGTAATTGCATAGTGACTATGTAATTACTATTAAATTTAATATATAGTTATTGGATGCGAAGCATCCAATAACAGTTTTATTTGGCAGAAAAAATGAGAATACCGTGATCCGAAGGATCACGGGATGATCATTTTGGATGACAAATAAAAAAAGCATCTGGCGGTGAATTTTTATACGCAAGCACCTG